GTTTTAAGGTTTGAATGATTTAATTACTTTGGAATTTAATATTTAGATTTTTATTAAATTCTATTTGTTAAAGTATTTTATGAATACCATTTATACATATATATTGTGGATATATGTACAAAAGGAAATTGAACAAAATTGATTGGCCTCTGATTTGGGATTTCTGATACCGCTATATAATCCATGTTAAATGTTGGTATTTCACAATAATTAGAAATGGAACATTAAAATTCCCATAAATTTCTTTGGCTATATTAAGTAGAATTGTAATATACTTGTGATACCATCTTTACAAGGTAATAATGTACTTCACAGCCAAATGAGCAATACATAGTCAAATATTATTAAAGTAATGAAAGTGTGTAGGCAGAAAGTAAAAAATGAACAGCTCACAACCATGTATAGTTATGAGAGGTGATATTTCCATAAACATATTTGTTAAAAACTTCAAAGGAAGAAATCTGAGCTGTACCAAAGGCAGTATTGATAAACAGGGCTCTGGGAATTGACAAAATACCAATTGATGAAGCACTGGAAGCACTCACTGGTCTGTGCCATGAAATTTGGAAGGCAGGTACCTGGTCAGCCAACTGGAAGAGATCCATATTTGTACCAATTCCAAAGAAAAGTGGTGCAACAGAATGCAAAAATTATAGAACGATATAATTAATATCACATGCAAGCAAATTTTTGCAAAAAATGATTCAAAAACCGTTATAGCAGTACAGCTGCCAGAAATTCAAGCCAACTTAAGAAGAGGACACGGAACAAGGGATATTGCTGTTGACATTAGATGGATCTTGACTGGAAAAAGAAAATATGAGGAATATGTTTACTTATGTTTTATCGAGTATGCAAAGGTATTTAATTAGGTAGAGCTTAAACTCTTGTTAACATTGGGAAGAATGACAATTCTCGTACACTTCATTGTGCTCACATGGAACCTGTATCTGAACCAAAAGGCAATCATTTTAATTGAACAAGGAATACTGCATGATTTAAAATCAGGAAAGATGTGCATCAGGGTTGTATCCATGCACTATACTTATCCAATCTTTATGCTTAGCAAATGGCCTGATAGGCTAGGCTCTATGAAGAAAGCAGCATCAGGATTAGGGGACCATTAATTCACAACTTGTCCTATGTAGATCATACAGCTTTGCTTGCTGAAAGTGAAGAGGACTTGAAGCACAAATCAGATTAAATCCTTCAGTATGGCTTGCAACTCAATGTAAAGAAAACCCAATCCACATACCAGGACCAGTAGAAAACAACATGATTAATGTAGAAAAGATGGACGTTGTCAAGCATTTGATTTTACTTGGATCCATAGTCAACACTCATGGAAGCAGCAATCAAGAAATCAAATGACATATTTAATTGGAAAAATCTGCACAAGAACTATTTGAAATAATAAAAAGAAAAGATGTCACTTTGAGAGCTGAGGTGTGTCTGATTGAAGTTGTGGCATTTCAATCATAGCATATGCATGTAAAAGTTAAAAATTGATTAAATAATGCAGGAGAGGAATTGATGTGTTCTAATGTTGGTGGTGGCAAAGAGTATTGAAAGTCCAACGGACTGACAGAAAAACAAACATCTTTGTTGGAAGAAGTATAGCCAGAACGCTCCTTAGAAGCGAGAGCTGAGACTCGGTCTCATGAACTTTGGACATACTGTCAGGAGATACCAACTCCTAGGAATGGGCACCATGCTTGGTAAAGAAGAGGGTCAGTGAAAAGGAAGCAGATCCTCAATGAAATGAATTGACACAGGGACTGCAACAATAGATTCAAGCATGGACATAATTGGGATGCAATGCTGGGTGTGTTAAGGTTCTCTAGAGAGATAAAACCAAGTTGCTAATAATTTAATATATTTATTTATTAAGATAATTAGATATATAATGAGAAATGAACTGTTAAATCATATACTAATAAATATATAATACAAGAAATAAACAGTTAAATTAGAAAGCACTACAAATGGCTCAGTGCAACTCACATCCGTGAGAGAAAGTTGAGAGACTAGCAGTTCTTCAAGTCTAGTCTGCTGCCAGATCTTCCTCCTATTTGTAGAGAGAGCTAGGCTATGTCAGCACAGCAGCCAATCACAAGGCAGGTCACCAACCACCAGTCCCCAGCTCCAGAGAAATCTTAAAGGGACCTCAACTTACAGCGACACAGTCCACAGGCTAGGCGTCCCACAGGCAGTGTAGCCTTTAAATTGAGGCATAGAACAAGCAAGGCAGCTGCACACTGGTCCGATGATCACAGAGCGAGAGACAAGAAAGACAAGGCTCACCAAGCCATTTATCTCTCTGCCCTTCAGTCAATCCCACCTGCGTTTATCAGCCAGGCTGGCACAATAAACTATCTCACTGGGTAATGTTTAGTACTCTTGTACATAGTGTTGCAATGAGTTAAACTTCTCTATGCTTATAATAGAGCAAACAGGTGTCGAAAGTACACAACTTTCTTAGCAATCTCTAAACACCTGAATGGAATGAATCACGGGGCCTACTGGAGCCGTGGAATCATAATCTTGAGGGACATCCTAGCCTTGGAGGTTATCAAGGTCAGGTTTACAAAATCACTGTTCTACATGGTATTTTTGTGAGTATTGGCTGGGGGTCCTGAAAGCTTGCAAGTAACCATCTAAGTTGCTGCTATTGGTTTCTTCTCATCTGGTGAAAATAAGAATGAAGAAAATTAAAATTATATGGAAATAATTAGCCCAAAGAACTAATGGACCACACAAACTTCAACCCCACCAC